CCACTTCGGGGTTCTTTCACGTGGAATTTTACTGATGTTGTGGTGAAAGTTTGTCCAATCTAGTAGTTCTGAGTTATTAAAATATATAAAATCAACATTTTTGAATTTGTAATAAAATAAATTTTTAATAAAATAAAGTTTTTAAATATATTTTATTAGTCAATATTATCTAATTATTATCGTATTTTTATTATCGTATTTACAGTACTATGTATAAATTATTTGATTGACATAAATATGCGGGCTGTCGATCACATGTTGATTTGTGTAACCTTTGACGTTTCCCCTGTTTCCTAAAATAGTAATTTTACAGTACACCCATGACTAATGCGTTTTGTTTGTTTGTTTTTTTCTGTTTTTTTTTTTTGTTTAAATTTTATATATATTAAGGTGATTTGCTTTTTGATTACAGGATTAAAAAAAATGGAGAGCATTATCGAAATGTACCGTATAAACAGTGCTTTATGCACTTTATGCCTAAATACAATCAATAGGATACTTCAAAACCAAAAAGATTCTCCCAACAGAAGTCCTCTTCAAGTTTCTCACGGAAACCCACTCAATAGTTCCCCTGCTGAAGGTTACCCAAATGAAGGTTCCCCAAATGAAGGTTCCCCAAATGAAGGTTCCCCAAATGAAGGTTCCCCTAACGAGGGTTCCCCTAACGAGGGTTTCCCCAACGAAGATTCCTCTAACGAGGGTTCCCCTAACGAAGGTCCCTCCAACGTAGGTCCCCCCAATGAAAGTTCTCCCCCCCTAGGGCCTTGTTATTATTGTAAAGGAAAGCATCTTCTCATGCGCTGTCCAAAGATTCCGGACTCTTTAAGGAACCATTGCATCAAGTGTTGGATGCCCGATCACAATGCGAAAGAATGCCCCCAACAATATGCCTCTCCTCAACCGGAGATTTAGAAGTCAAAAAAAAATTTTTTTTAAAAAAAAAATTAAAAAAAATCTAGTGTGTACATGGGTATCAAATCTTGCACATGGGTATCAACTTTGCACACGGGTAATTTCAAATTTTAAATAAAGCATATGCATAGTGAAAATTCAAAAGTTTGTGGTATACTTAACAATTACGCAATTTTCTTGTGATCGTGGTTGGCCAATAAAAATTAATGTATTTCGACATACCGATACTGCACATTTTTAAAACATTAACTTTTTAGATTTTTTTTAAAAACCGACAAAGTTAATGGTCAGTTTTTAAAAAAAATTCTTTTATAAAGACTTAAAATTTGGCCATTTTTCGAATTGTTATAACTTTCTATAGAAGAATTTTTTAAAAACCTGTCAGTTTTTTAAAAAAATAAAGGCATTTTAAAAAATGCTATATCTTGGCGCGGAATTACATAATTTTATTGGCCAACCACGATCACGAGAAAATTGTATATATTAATATATGTACTGTATATATGTACTTGACAATACTTAATAAATATTCTTTATATTTATTTAAAAAAAATAGAACAATTAATAACAAATATAATCTTACATGCTACATCCTAATTACTATGCTGCTATGTTCTGTTCTAACTACCGTACTACATTCTAAATCTAACTATATATCATGCTATGTCCCGAATCTAACTATCCATGCTACGTTCTGAATCTAACAGCTAACTACTGTGCTACGTTCTGAATATTATAGTATGTTCTAAATCTAACTATCGTGAATCTAACTATCACGCTATGTCTCGAATATAACTACCGTGTTATGTTTCGAATATAACTATCGTGCTAGATCACGAATCTAACTATCGTGTCATATCCTGAATCTATCATACTATGTTCCGAATACACCGAAACATACTATGGAGTGTAGCATTTGAATACATGCAATACAACGACAAACCCCTCCATCGATATACTA